AGTATATTTATATGAAATACATATTAAACATCCATGACTGGAGTACAAATGCTCGTATTCATCACACAAACATCTGCCCCCACCGGGATTCGAACCCGGGACCTCTCGAGTCGGCGACGCCATGAAACCCGGCGTATAAACCACTCGGCCACGGAGGTCGTCATGACTGACTATGAAGGAACACTTACAGCAAAAACTTGAGATTTTTGATAGGGGGCATCCATAAATTACGTGAGGTGTTTTTTTGAATTTTCTGTCCCTCCCTCCCCCCCTGGTGAGATGTCGTGAGATTTTATTCAACCCCCTCCCCCATCCCCCAATCTCACGTGAGATTTTTCAAAATGTGGGTTTCTTACGTAAATGCGTTGGATTGTTATTGTAAAAAGAAAAAAAAATATTGCTTCGTGCTTTTATTTACGACTAGTTAAGACTAGTAATCAATATTGCTGAGAGTTATTTCTTTCGAACGAAATAGTGAGTTATCATAATCGTATTACGATGGCGCTTCAGATTAAATTTTAAGCATGTACAATCTGGATTAAATGGACCAAAATAGTATATTTTTTTTTTGTTTCAATCACAAAAAAAAATTGCGTGATATTTGACTCGACCCCCCTCTCTCCAACGTAAGATTAGATGAGATTTACCTCGACCCCCTCCCCCCCTTAAACATCTCACGTTATTTATGGACGCCCCTATATACGGTTTTATCGTCGTCGTATGCTTCGGATAAGCTGGGTCATAAGAATAACCAAATGATGATGTATATATATGTATTAGCAAACTGAAGTGGCAGTGGGCTGGTCACATTAGCCGCAGAACTGATGGCCGTTGAAGCCGGAAAGTTCTTGAGTGGAGACCGCGACTCGGTAAACGTAGCGTAGGACGCCCTGAGACAAGATGGGATGATGATATTCGTAGGCTGGCTGGAGTGGGCTGGATGAGAGTGGCAGAAAATCGGGAGCAGTGGCGTGCATTAGGGGAGACCTATGTCCAGCAGTGGACGAACATGGGTTGATGATGGTGATGATGTATATTAATATACGATCAGTCAAGAAATCCTGACAACACTTGAAGATCAATAAAAAACCTAATACTGGTGGAACTTAAACTTCAAATAGAGAAGAGAGACTACAATGATGGGAAAGATAGAGGGAAAATGACGTGTTGGAAGAAGGGAGAAGTTGATGGTCCCAAACATCCGAGAATGAGAGAAAGCCAGCGTGGAAGAACTTCATATAATTTATGGCTTAAAGTAAGAACAGTACTACCCAAGCTCGAACAATTAACGAAAGAAAAAAACAATGCTTTAGATAATGCACTTACAGATTCCGCGATCGGAATCAATTTATTTACTTTTACTTATTATAATAGAGGAGCTCAATGGCGCAAGTGGTTAGCGCGTTCGGTTGCGATCGTTAAAGTTAAGCAACTTTCGCAGTGGTCGGTCTTTGGATGGGTGACCAAAAATTTACTATCTCGAGTTCCTCCGTGCTTCGGAAGGCACGTTAAGCCGTTGGTCCCGGCTGCATCTGCAGTCGTTTGCACCCACCAATCCGCATTGGGCCCGCGTGGTTGGTTATGGCCCAATCTCCCTATTCCATCCAAAGGAAAGGTCAGTGCCCCAGCAGTGGGGACATTAATAGGCTGATGATGATGATGATTATAATAAAAACGGATAGATTCGACTCACGTATCTTACTAATTTTTATCTGACGTGATTCATAACAAATGCCTTTCGACAGCCACGATTATGGTTATGGGAATAACATAAGCATTTAATTTACTATATTGAGAATGATCTTTACAGCGGAGGCGGCTCACGAGAAAGCGGCGAAAGTTAACAACGCCTTTTTATCGGAACTTGTTCCAAATAACTCTTTTGTAATCGGCAGTGTGCTTTACGCGAACCAATTAGATGATATTAGACAGGTACGACGGGATCACAATCTTAAGATATTAATAAAATTGTGTGTGTCAGCCCAGACGCAAAAAGAGTTTATTTAACTTAAAAAAGATTAATGTCAATCCGTCATCTTTGTTTGTCAAAGTGCACTTCAAAACTCGTTAAAAGTGGCTGTACTTATTTTTTTTTATTTGTTTTATTACTAAGATTAGGATTTATAGCGTGTTAGTAATTGGATAATTATATTTCTGAAAAAGGAACATTTTGCGATTGTCAGAAGTTCACGACTATAGATTAGACATTCGCAACAAGTTCGTTGAGAGATAAACCATTAATCCGAATTTCTATCAGAATTAAGAGCTGTCAGACTCAGAATAAAATTTAAATAGGTCTGTCAGAAAATTGGGCTATTAAGCCATGAAGTCCAGACCGGACCAATCAGAGAAGCCCTGTGTTCAGTACCCTTAGTACGAGTTTGCGCTCACGAAAACTATCATAGTTTTCGTAATTGTAAATTATGTTTGTATGTCCATTTTGGTGAAAAGTAACCAAATACTCTTAAAATTTAAGAAGACGCAAATGATTTAATGATAGAATTTAAACAATGTTTATTTGTATAGAAACGAAAACAATAAAATCAGAACCCTTAGTACGAGTGCGAGCTCAAGAAAACTATCATAGTTTTCGTGATTGTAAACTCGCACTAATGGTACTGAAAATTATTGAAATTTACGGGCGATATATTTTAACCTACCTCTTCAAACTTGAATTAAGGGTAACTCAGCTAGCTTAAGCGTCACATTGGGAGTTTATTATTCAACAATTTAACAGACGGCCAATGGGTGCCTTACATGTGTCGCTTGTGTTAGTCACAAATCTATTTTTAGTTGCATACCGACTGATACAAACTTCTGAGTTCGTTACCACTATAACGAGGACGTTATTAAGGGTAAGTACGATGCAAATGAAACTTTAATATTAATAATAATGAAAAAAGTCCTAGGATTCGAGCCCGGCCTGCCCGCGTATCGCGCGAGCTTTCTTCCTATAAACCACTGATGTTTGTTATAAAAGTCAGTTTTTTTAGATATCAATTAAAAAATTAATATAAAGATAAACCAAAAAAAAAATTGTGTGTGTCAGCTCCGACGCACGACTGGAGTTTACTCCTTAAGTTCGATAGTCTAACCAGACGCAAAAAAAGTTTATTTAACTTAAAAAAGATTGATACTGTATAAAAGGGTAAATTAACAAATTAATGAAAATAATATAAATATATATTTATTCATTTCATATACATCTATTATAACTAATCGACGAATTATTTTACATTAAACTTTTTACAATAGTCAATTTCAGATGTGCATAAATATATAATTAGGAATGTTGATAAATTATGTAATTATTATTATCAGACTATTATCATTTTTTTAAATATTAATTAAATCAACATTGTCTGCATTATTAATTACAGTGACAAGTGGTTTATGGTAACTAAAATAAGACACATGGACGTTCGTAGATACGTGGTTCACGAATCTTGAAAATACCGCATCAATGGTTGTACCTTACCTCGTAGTCCCCATTGCTCTATCAGAAACAATATCTAAATTCAGTTCAGATTTTAAAAAAAATATTAATGTCAATCCGTCATCTTTGTTTGTCAAAGTTGCGCGACATAGGATGCGCACCAAAAACGTAACGAGGTCATTCATCGATAGATTTTACTCCTCACATTTTTCTCATACCGGGCCCCTTATATATGTAAATCGATTCTTAAGGAGTAAACTCCAAAAATTGTTTGCGATATAATAGAAGATCCACTTTAGTAAAATGACATTTTGGTAAACTTTTTCTGTAAGTTCAACGGTACCGGAACGCAGTGCGCCGCCGCCGCCAGTGTAATTGTATTTATTAACATAATCTAGCATGTTGTTTAACGAACCATATCAAAACAGTTAATTTTGCGTTTTTCCAACCGCATCTTCACTTCACAGAAATTTTAGAAATTGCTGTGTGAAAAAAAACTTGATTAATCTGCTATGCGCTGACTGGCTGAGTAAGACAAAGGCGCAAAGTAACGGGTTACACGAAATCCATGTCGCGTACGTATTCATTTGGGGCGAATAACGAATTCGGATACTCCCCCAATTAATCTGACTGACTCACCCCTTGTGATTTTCTTTGTCAGTTTGTGACTAAATAATATCATTTGGTGACGCCTATTGTGTGCGTTTTCACTGTCATGTTTAATGTCTTTTATCATGTGAGGTGTGTCTATTAATAATAATATTTTTATTAAATAAATCAGTTAAAAGTTGTTTTAAAAGTATGTATAACAGTTGCTATTACATTTAGTATGTTTGACAACATTATAAGAGCGAAGAAAAAGAGTTTTTTAACTACATAATTTTAGACTTAATCATTACATATTAAAGTGTTTATTTAACAAAACAAAACCAACTTTATTTTGACAAAGTTTAACATAAGTCTCCGATATTGTATAGGTAGGTACCTCAGTTTACTAGATTAATAATAAGGGATAGGTAAGGCACCAAGATAAAATTTTCAATCCACTGCAGTTACTGAATTTTTTTTTTATCCGCCATATTTAGTTCCATCTGTAAACAGGTAGGTATGAAGTAGGTATCATGTAGTTTTAAAGTAATAAGTTCAGGGATTTTTGAGGTAAATGCACTGTCGCTTCATGAGGAAGTATACGCATACCGAATACATTATCGAAAAATAAAACTCTTTGAACACTCGTGTAAACACGAACAATAAACGCACCAAACAAAAATCCGATGACGCATTCCAACGTAGATTGTATTGGACAGAACCGTTATGCTCGAATTAACTTCATTCTTGTAGTGAGAACGTTGATATTATAATAAATCATGTTAATGTTCTACATACTGAGAGTGGATTGCAACATTTTGTATGACACGCACTTCGATCCGGCCGGCCGGCTAACTCCTGAGGGAGCGGATACGCTTAGGACATGCACTTGTATCGATTTTCCAATAAATACAAGTTCTTTCTTACAAAAACAACATTTTTTTAAATTAATAGACATAAAATATAAATGACTTACTGAATTTATGTGATGAGGTATAGGAAATGACGGCAAGCTGTGCACTACGTGTCGATGTCAAAATGCGACTGAGCCAATGGCTGACGCGGTGCGGGCGAGAGCGAGCGGCTGTAGAGGGTGGCGCGGGCTCGCGGTCTGATACCGGAGTCGAATAATAATAATATTTCTATTTTACCTATATCACATACGGATAGAGACCGATAGAAACTACGTAAGTATGTTTTTGTTCCGTCGTTTATCGATGAATCACGCATGCAGCTATTTCTATAGATTTGTGGGAAACAATGGTCAGAAATAGTGTCTTGGGTGACATCAACACGGATATAATATATTTTATTTATCAATAATGTTTGTTTTCAGCTATTTTAGTATCTTATCTAAATAAATAAGTATTGTTTTTGACTGGTGAAGTAAACGTTGATATATTTTTACAAGTTTTACCATAAAAATAAATGTAACTCTCAAAAGTAGTGAAACGAACACATAAATTTAGTTCGAGCGAGAATTTCTTCCAGTTTACCTACTATCTAGTTAATTATTTACTATGTAGTTATGGATAAACAAACACCCGTAACCGGGTGTCAATCTGCGAAGTTAAAGTAATAATCGTGTCAATTAATTGTGTTTTACTAGTTTTAATATTTGACAGTTATTATTACTTTATCACATATTTGCACTTATTACTGCAATACTGCATCCTCCTAATATGATTTAGATTTGTATTTATTTATGTATGTTTATATTATTATTTATGAAGTTTATGTATTTAGATGTATAAATATCATGTAGTGTTATGTGAAGGTAATCATATTTATTTTATCTATATTTATACGTTAGTATAAGAACAATCACTTGTTCAGTTCTTTTTTGCACCACCTTCTTAGATCTTTACTACAATTCTCCGGTTGACTGGAGTATGCATTAAGTCCGCCATTTGAACAGTAATTTGTGCAATTTAGTTTAAATAAATAAAATATTTGCCCACTAATTGTTTATTGTTATTTATATGCATTTCTTATTTTATGTTTAAGTAACAAACACTGAGTGAAATTAACTAAGCAGAAATGACAACCAGTTCCTGTAGCATGAGCACCACAATTTGCATAGTAAAACACGTTTTTTGTCGCGTCTAACTGTCCAACTCAATAGTAATTTGACAATTGAGCGTGATAAAAACGTGATATTTAACATAAAATATCATGGTGCTCGTGCTAGGGGGGCAAGGTTGAAAATTTAACATGGTTGGGTTATATACGGGGAACAGCGGAAGTCATTCATACATACCATGATAAAATAGTAGCACCCTCACATGACTGCTCGCCACACCGTCATGAATCATCTGTGGGGCGCGAGCCGAGCGAGCAGTACGCAGCTACTCACTTGCTCGTCGCAAACATTATTACAGTTATATATATTTTTATTTCACTTATTCATAGCACCGAATTAAAGATGACGAACTGCTGCATACCAGATCGGCCTTCAGAAGGATAAGTTTGAATTGATCCTTTCAATTTCGACCTATCTTGTGAAATAATTCTTACAAATAAGTAGAAAAATTGGTTTTATTACATATCTATCGGAGCGGCAGTTGTTGTTCTGCTCAACTGGGCTGGAGCGCCAGCTATATAGTCCAGTTGAGAATTTAAACCAAAATGGGATCTACTTATAGATTATAATTATTAATATAAATACACTTGGAAATCATCAAAATTGGTTCGGCTGTTTAAATAGGACGACGTCAAATAGACAGAAAAGAGATATATAAATCTAAAGATTACCTAAGTACGTTACCAGCGTTGCCAGATTTTTTATGCCAAGACGGGATTTTGGAACCATTTGAGTGAAAAATGCGGGATTCTTGCGTCGAAAGCGGAACATAGTAAAAAAACGTATATAATCAAAAGTTATTAAATATTTATCTTCATTACAGACAGGCGGGCAGGTGGCGTCCACGCTTGTCTGTGCCACCCGCCCGCGCTTTCTCAGTACGCTGCACGCGCGGTCGAGTTATTCCCGAAAAGCGGGATTGAGCCTGTCCCGCGCGGGACATTAAATTTTGATTTAAAAATGGGGACGCCTGACAACGCTGTACCTTACCCTAACTAATCGTAGCGTGGTAATGTCCGTGCTAATGGTAGGTACAGTGAGTGTGACCTTGTGGCACTTAGATGGCATTGACAGGAGGGTAAATAAATGGTGAAATGAGGATTACTAAGTACGTAAAATCTCCTCACTTAAGGAAACGTTATAATTAACTATAACTCTGAAAGGGTAATAGGAAATATAAAGGCCATATTATATGCACCTTCCTAAACTTAGCTCCGATTTCAGCCTCGCGCCAGAAAATCTTAGTAGCACTGTATGTAAATGTAATGCATCTTTTTTATGCTTAAAAGGTTCATAATATAACCTGCTTGGCAGGCTCGTTTTTATCCTAGGGTCAAGAGGGCTATGGCCCAAGGGCGGCTGCAAGAGCTGCGAAGGGCGGTAAAAGCCATATAAAGGCATCGCAATGGTTAATACATATCTCTTTACCCTTGAATTACCGGTTTTCGTGAAAGCAAAGGGGGGAGTTATAGCCCCTTTTTTTCAATATTTTTTATTTTTATGAATCAAAGAAATTACAGATGCAATCACTGCAGACCCGTCTTTCCCAGTGGGCACTTTGGACAAGGGCCCAGGGCCCCGCGATCGATAGGGGGCCTCGGATCAAATACAAAGTCCCTAGTTCCTGTTAAATCACCAAACGGATGTCATAGCGGCCCCATTATCCTAATATGCCCAGGGCCTCCAGGGTCAAAGACGGCACTGAATTAATGCATTTGTTATCCAAAAGTCTGCTGGACGGGAGGCAAACAATGCTTCAAAGGCATTTAGTTATATATTTATAACTGCCTCTTGGTTATTAATTTTTTTCCCCATTAAGACTTTATCCAAATTCTGGATAAAGTAGAAGTTTGTAGGGCCAAAGCTTTTTTACCTTTGACTCAATTGGATTGTTTTGATCAGTGATTCCCAAAGTGGTCTATATGGACCCCTAGGGGTCTATGACAAACCGCAAGGGGTCTACGTCAGCGAAAAAAAATTAATATCAGGTAAGTAGGGGGTCTACCCAACACGGAAAAACATGGCAAGGGGTCCACGACACAAAAAAGTTTGGGGGAACTCTGGTTTTGATGCTAACATCGAGAGCTGCTGCTAATCAGCTGTAGATTGAGAATTATCAGCTTCCACTAATCGGCTTTAAAATCGTCATTGTCGACTAAAGTTTTCGGTCTGGGTTCATTTCTTAGGTCGAAATTTCCAGAACGGAAGCGGGAAAACCAATATCGGTTGGTGCGAACGTTAGTAGAGTTCGTTGGAGGTGCACTTGCACTCACTGGCAGGAAAGACACTGTCGCTGGTAGAAATAAAACAAAACTTAAAATATGACAAATTATATATTTAAATTTAAGAGAAATATAATGGAAATAAAGAGGCTTGTATTTATACATTTAAGAATAATTAAAACAAAAAATATACTATAACAATGAACCTAAAACTAAAAACCTTAAAAAAATAAAATATAATAACTAAAATACATTATTAAAAGGAGTCCCTTTAGGCAAGGTTCCGAAGATACTGGCAGCGTTCCCCCTTTGGATAGCTAGAAATATAATTATATATCAAAACTAGCGGCCCGCCCTCGCTTCGCTTCGGTGTAGAGCTGAAGTGTAGACTACAGTTTTTGTTCTCAGGCTTGTATTATACACAATGACATTCATCTATGATTCTTCTTATACCTGCATGTCTCACCCCGATCGGTTTAAAATTGACAAAGTTTCATACAAACTGTCATTCCCTATTTTATCCCCTTGGGGGGTAGAATTGATCAGAATCCTTTCTTAGCGGATGCCTACGTCATAACATCTACCTTTATGCCAAATTTCAGCCCGATCCGTCCAGTGGTTTGGGCTGTGCATTGATAGATCACTATGTCAGTCAGTCACCTTTGAGTTTTATATATATAGATATCAGGTTTCGTGGGTGTCTCGTACCACTGACTCCCTGGGTCGAGCTTTACATTCTGGTCCATGGTTTCTTTCAAAATCGTGTCGCAGCCTATTCGCATCCCAAATATGAGAGCCATAAACCATACCAGTTGAATCTGCTTTTAACGACACAACCAAGACGGACACAAAGTGGTGGACGATGCCATCGATGCCGATCTGGTTCCTTCTACAGCCCCGGTCGCGTGTCCCATACGCTTACCTAAATGGTACTCGCAGAGCCTGGCAATATAAGTTTCAGCAGACTGGGATGGGATGATCTGAGTTCTTTGCGTCTCACCTATGGAAACGGCTCTGCTGTGTTAGTGACATGGTACTTATGGGGAAGGATTTATTAATTCCCAACCATAAAATATCTCTTGAGCGAGTCTCCGAATGGAGAACTCTGAGGGCGCGTTTATATGACACAGAATGTCACAGCGTGGCGGCAGCGCGGTCACCGCGCTGTAGCCAGCGTTCTCTAAAGGATAAATTTAAAGAAATAGGTATAATGACTGTTGCCTCTCAATACATTTACAATTGTATATTGTTTGTGCGTCAGAACATAAATTTATATACGAGGCGCGATGATGTACATAATTTCAATACAAGAAATAAAGATAAACTCAAATTGCCACCGTTGAGACTCCAAAAGGTTCTTGGTTCATTTGTGGGTCTAGGCATATATTACTATAATAAAATACCAAAAGGAATAATTAATTTACCTTTCAATAAGTTTAAAGTGTCTATAAAAACATGTCTCCTTAAGAAAGGTTACTATACTGTTAAAGATTTCATAAATGATAAGTCACCTTGGGCTTAATATAACAGACTAAGTCATTTTACTTTGCTGATTTGGTTGAAAATTGTTTAATCGCCACTTCTAAATTTAAAAGTAGTACCTAGCTATACTTAACTTTTGTTAATTAATAATATTAATGTGATGGAAGTTGACATCAACACATGTTTTCAATTTTTAATGTCATCTTTCAATTGACGACACTGTTTGAAACAAAACAGGGAGAAAAAAATAGCCCTTGCTGAGTTTCTTGTCGGTTCTTCTCAGTACAAGGTCTCCCGCCGTAGATTTACGAACCGATGGCGTAGCGTTTGACTTTCACAAGAGCTTGTAACAGCCTAGACTGAATAAATGAGTTTGAGTTTGAGTAATAACTGTTCAGTC